AGGAGCAGCTGATTCCACAGCCCTGCTCAGAGGAAGACCACTTTTAGAGCTGAGCCCCTGAAAGCACTGCGAGTGGCTCTGGTGGTCCTGTTTGAGCCTGTGGACCAACAGACGCTGACACTGAGAGGCAGAAGGGAAACGAATGTACTCACAGAGGAAGAAGAGGCAGAGCAGAGTGTGATGGACGCTCATGTTGGGGCTCTGCTGTTTGGCTGCTGCCTCTCTTCCCTCTTCACTCCTCTAAGCGAAGGAGCTCCTCCTCCAAAGAGGGCCAACGGCGCTCCTCCCCTCCAGCAGCCTGCAGGGGGCTGCAGACTCTTTCTGGATCCCTTTCTGGTCCCACTGCTCAGCACATTTGCTGTTAGGGGCTAAATGTCCCCCTGACTGGCAGCAGGGCTCCTGCATCAGGAAGCAGGCGTCTCAGAGGGGCTCCTTCAGGTGCAGCTGGGAGTTTCCAGCCTCACTTTTTATGGGATGCAGCAGCTGGGGCTCAGAATGTGTAAAAGCAGAAGCTGCTGCATTGGTTTACCATGAAAGGACATCAGAGGGTGTGAGCTGCATGTCTGTGGTTAGAAGAAAGCCTTTATAGCTTCCTCTGATCTGTAGATGAACGGAGATGTCACTCAGCTCAGCTAAACTAAAGCGTTGAGTAATTCACCTCTGTGGCTTCAGCAGAAGCTTTTCTTTCCTCACTGAGACCTCATGCGTCTCAAACTGGGTTAAAATGGCTCCTGTGATCGTGTGGCCATGCTGGAACAGGAGTGTTCTACACTCTTTTTCTGAATGCTTCAAAACCGGCTGAGGGAAACCGGCTCAGGTTCCCTCGTCACCAGCCCTTCCACCGATGGCTCTCACATCACACTTTCCTCAGCTCAGAGCCCAGGTGCAACATGCCCAGGGCCACCTGCAGTTCCTCTATGTGAGGGAATTCAACATATGTATGATCAATTTTTCCATTGGGGGTTTTCCCGAAGTGAATATTTCGAAGGTTCTTTTCTTTTTCATGGGAATCTTCCCTCCTTCACAGTCTCCGAGAGAGTCTTCTCATGCTTTAACTCTTAATATTTTCTCTTGAGGACTGCTTGGTACAGTTACAAGTCTCTCTATTACATACCTCATGAAATATATACATTTATATAACGTTATATTTTATGAAGGTATTAAGGTATGTATAAAAGGTATAAAATGTACTATGATTTCTTTTTTGCTTTGGAACAGTTTGGTACGTCGTATGAACCACTTGTATGATGGAGCTTGCTGCTTTCACTTCATGAAGTTTTCTTGTACCCTCTTAAGAGCCTTTTCCTCATGTGAGGAAGCTGCTTTCCTGCCTCTCTCTACCAGGATCATTTTTTCTCTTTGACCTTTGACCTCTTGGTCTCATACTAGACGCAATCAGACACTACTGTTGAAATCTAAAGGAAAATGCTTTTAGACATTTTACACCAATCATGTTCTTTTTGCAGAATTAAAATGTTGTAGATAAGTCATTTGGAGCCTCAGAATCAAATTGAAAAACATTTAATTAAATATATAAAGAAACATTTTAAATCTAAAAATAATCCATCAGAGCCTATATGAAGAAAAAATACCTGTATCAGGACAAAGTCTAGTTATTATAGGTATCAGCTCCTACTGATCAAGAGATCTGGAACAAAGCAGAAATGAATACCCAAATAAAAGCTGGGCTTTGAGGAGGCTAAAGCTAAGAGCTATGTCACATCCAGGAAACCGTTGGAAGCATCAGGGACGACGGAGAGGAACAAAAGTGAGCGTTCGGGCTTAAGAAGTCGGCCGGAAAAAGCCACGTGAGATTTTTTAACCACGATTAATGCAAAGACA